GCAAAGGCACATGGGGCAATAAGAAGCAAGAAGATGGTCACAGATTCATAGGAAGAGGAGAAGTCTGAAGTTGACCTAGGCAGTAGTTGAGCGAGTTCCAGAAGGAGAGGACAAAAGTCAGAACGACAGAGTGAACACAGACGTAAGGAGGATGAAAGAGACAAAGCTGCAGAGACGTGGAAACTGAGATGCTGAAAACCCTTCAGGCTGTGCTTCTGTCATACATGGAAACCAACTTGTGTTCACAGCATATTGGGATAGGTTGGGAACAGACTTCTCAAGAACGCCATAAAATTCAAAGAAACCACACGCAAAGCACACATGTCAATTTTGAATCAGAGTTAAGTGTTTAACAAACACCTGCTCACCCATGAGTGTCAGAGCAGAAGTAACTTCTGAATAAGACCCACAAGCCTGCCAGGCTGCCGGGAATGCCTAGTACAGTCATGCTCGTTCTGTTCTGTGATGGTGGCTGGTGAAGGCATAAAGCAGCTAAAGAACTACTGCCACCTAGTGACGTGACTGTGTCATAGCACAATACCTTGCTCAGTTTTCCATGTCACCTGTATAAACAAACTAGGGCACTGTCAGTCACATCACTATTAGACAATTATTATATTATGCATTGCTAGTTTATATATGTACTGTAATATACTTTAATGGATATTCTAGAGAATATTCCTTCTACTTGCTTTTTTTTTCTTTTAAGTTAAATTCAAATGGCTTCAGGCAGATCCTTCTCAAAGTATTCCAGCAGAGGCTTTGTGATCATAGGTCACAGTTCAAATGTTACTGCCCTGAGGACTCTCCAGAGGGACAGGATACAGAAGTGGAACAGAGTGGTGGTAAGTCTGACCCTGTGTAGGCTTCGGGTAATGTGTGTGTGTGTGTGTGTGTGTGTGTGTGTGTGTGTGTGTGTGTGTGTTTGTAACTTAATCTTAACCAAAAGGAAATCAGCTTAGAAATTTAAAATATGTAATTTAAAATATAAAACTAAATTATAAAATTCAAATTTAAAAAGTGCTATGTTAATACAATGTGTTTCTGTTTCTAAATAGAGTCAAAAATATTTTTAATAGCTTATAAGGTTAAAAGATGTCAGTATTCTAATGATTCCTGAAGAAAATGTTTTTACAAATTTAGAATAGTCTGTGTGTATCATGTCTACAAAGTCTACAGGAGTGCGCACAAGGTCTCCTATCTTTATATACTTTCATCACTCACTCACCAACTCACCCAGAATAACTTCTATGTGCTGGAAGCTTCAGCAGAGCATCGGCCTTTTGATGTGTGCCAGTTGTCAAGCTTGGTACCAGAACCTCACTCTGATTAGTTCCACAGTACTTAACATTATAATATGACTGCCTATCATATTCAGGACAGCAATACTGTATGCAAGCTTTAGCTTAGGAGTGAAGGACTAGACCATGTAGCCTAGAAGTTCAGCAAGCTACATACTCAAGTTTATATAAAATCGAAATCACTTAAAGCTGTATTCTTTGAGTTTATTCCTGTGGCTAAATGAGACATAATCAACCATGCATGAAACTGGAAGCTTTTCTCTGTCTCGACCAGTCCCACTGGATTGGTTTATCTCCCGTCTGCCGGTCCCCACAACGACTTATAAAATAATCACTCTGAGGCTTAATATTAATTATAATTTCTTGGTCAATACCTTAGGCTTCTTACTGGTTAGCTCCACATATAAATTAAACCATTTCTAATAATCTGTGTATCACCACGTACTCCATGGCTTACTGGTAATACTCTGGCATCTTACTCCTTCAGTGGTTGGTGGTGTCTCCCCGACTCTATCGTATTTTTCCCTCTATTTGTCTGCTTGGGTTTCCCACCTATCCATATTCTGCCCTGCCATAGGCCAAAGCAGATTCTTTATTAACCAATGGAAATAAAACATATTCACAGCATACAGAGGGGTATCCCACATCACACACATCCATGAAAAATATGCATTTAAGCCTATTCTGTGGCAAATGTTGCTGATATGAACTGATTCCACTTCTATGATGAATCTTATTCTTCCACCCCAGCTTAGACAGAGCCCTAGGATCTGCTTTAGTCAAGTAGGCATGCTATGCTTCACTCTGAAGTGAGGGCATTTACATGGCAGTGATTCATTCCAAGCCTTTGCCTTCTCCTTGTGGCAGCTAGTGATTGTAGAAGAAACTTTCAGCAGGGAGGTGGTGCAATAGGAAAGTAACCTAATGATGGAGAGTCCCCATATGGATGTTATTTGAGCAAAACGTGAACCTCTGCTACAATGAACAGCTGGTGTTTTGTCATCGTAGCAAAATATCAGACGACTTGAATACAGTCAACTCTTACACATAACACCATGAAAACAGTCACAGAGAAAGATGTGGACCTTATGAGCTAAAACGTAAGGGAATAAGTGGAGCCTGAGGTCCCTTCCTGTTCCGTGCTCCCCTCTTTGCAATGATCCTCAGCTGTGGTGGGAGTGTCACGTGCCATTGGGAAACTCCAGGTGAGTCAGGTGAAAATAATTTTGTAGAAAACTTTAAAAACCATCAATTGCCCAGCACCTTACCATCTTGCAAAATCCTCACTACTTTTTTTACCTGTCAAATCAGAGATGGATGCGGTGGGAGGAGGTCTCACTAAATTGAAACCTTAAGTATTGTCCCAAACAATCATTTTTCACAAATAACCCAAACTCTGTGGAAACTGCGTAGGCTCTGGAGGACCAGAAAATATCACAGCAGCTGTGAAAGCTGCACATAACAATTTCTTCAAACCCTGCCTTATTTTACATATGGCTGAAATATGAGAGTCATTAATAAAATTGTTGACACTGAGGAGGCTATGAAAGATGCACTGTCTCTGATTATAGTCCTGCTTACAGAGCAGGCTCCCCCCCCCCCTTTCTCCCCTCTAGACCTGTGTAGAGCAGACAAGATATTTTAATCCACCGCTAACTTGGATTTACAGTCAGGGATGCTCAAGTACACAACTCACAGCAAGAGCTGCCAGACGCAGCCCTTGACAGAAGTACACACACCAGCATATGATCATGGTTTGTTAATACTCAGGGCTTTGATCCAAGAAGCACAGTTGCTTAGGTTCTTTTATCCAGTGATATTGAAAGATGAAGGTATAGATACATGAGTCCATACTAAAGGGATGAAATGGAAAAAAATTAAGATGATGAATTTGAATGGAGGAGAGATAGAAGAAGAGAGAACAGCAAAAGACATACAAATGAGGGTTCTGATGCTAGAGCATCACAGAGAGAAAGAGAGAGAGAGAGAGAGAGAGAGAGAGAGAGAGAGAGATGGGGGGTGTGCTTTTCTAGGATTACAGTGGTCCTTTCTTGCCCAGACAGTTCTTGATTGACTAGGGGTCCCAACAATTTTAAGGACACTTTTGAGAGAAGCATAGAAACTAAGAGCTTTCTTACTTAGAATCTAAACACTTAGGGTTTGGGAGGCACTCAGTTGGTAAAGTGCTTGTTGTTCAAGGACCTGCACTTAACCTCAAGAATCTCTATATAAATATTTTTAATCCAGATGCGGTGGTAAGCTTTACTTGTAATACCATCCAACACTGCAGTGGATCCCTGAGACTCACTGGGCAGTCAGCCCCACCTAAGAGTTTATTTCCCAGTCAGTGAAAGGCATTGTCTCAATAAACAAGGTGGGTGGCTCCTAAGTAATAAAACTCAAGGTTGATTTTTGGCTTCCACACTCACTGGCATACACGCTCCCCCATGCGCCAAAAAGTGTTTATTCACACATGTACAAACAGACATAAAATAGAAACCAGATGCTTGCTATAGATAGAAGATTCTACAGAGAATGTATTGAAATTCAGCAAACTCTGTCTACATTGATCCTGGGCATATAAGTGTGTTCAGACATGCACATTTGTGAATCACCTGGCTGAACTCTTTTACTTCCTTCTTCCACACTCACCATCTCTTCCCCTTGCTCCCTGCTGCACATGCTCTCAGGCAGCCTAGACCTGAAAGACCCTTTCTCTAGCTGGAACAATACCTTAGCACCACCAGCTCATCACAACGCCTCATGCAGCTGCTTCTTAACTTGATCACAAAAGACATCAGGATTGTGCATTATTGCAAAGGACACAGCTTGGACACGATTTATTTTCTGGTTTTGACATTGGGTAAACTGAGTCCTGAGGATATAAAAGTGGGTTGGCCAAGGCCACAGAGTGATTCAGGGTCAGGAGGCAGAGCGATGTGGGATTGACTGCGGGCACTCTTGCAAAAAAGGTTTGCAGGTTGCGACTTTTCAATGCGACAAATTTTCTGTGAGTCAAAAGTCTGAAAACCTCAGACTCATTAGATTTCTGTGCTTCTTTTTCCCTTCCTCTCATTCTCCACCACCACCACCACCACTTCCTTCCTTATGTATACTACGTCACTCTGGTTTTTTTTTCCAGTTTTTTTTTCCTTCAGTGAAAACTTATTGGAAAGATGTTTACTGTCAGTGCTCAAACAATTCTCTTCTGGCATATTTTAATTGCTTTACTACACATTAATCCATTTTCTCTTAGTGAAGCCATTATGACTGGGCATGATTATATCCTGACAGTTTTACTTTCCAGGTGACTGACTTTTGCTGTTTCTGCAAGCCTTTGCCTTTTACTGATACTTGTTAATTTTAAGCTATTTATGAAGACTCCTGAAACTGTTTTAAAAATTAGTTGTATCCCAACTGTCCCTGGAAAAGTCTGAATATTCCTTTCCATACTTCCTTTCAGAAGGGAATGCTATATAAGGAAGTTTGTTTAGTTAAGGTGGACACTAAAAACTCAGCTTCACAATCTTGGTTGGGTGTGGACAGCTTTAGCAGGGCTCTTGCTGTTCACGTGATCATTTCCAGCGCTCTCCGCTGTGTCGCTGACTGCCTGTTGGAGCCGCCAGGGGGCGCTGTGGCCCGGACGCGAGGCGGCAGCACGAAGCGGATCCTCCCCCTGCGTCCCGGCACCGCCCTGTCCCAGGCTCCTTTGCGGGTAAACAGACATGGCCGACGAGGGAGATCAGCCGGACGCTGCGCACAACATGGGCAACCACCTGCCGCTGCTGCCTGGTAACCTCCGGGACGGGCGCCTGGCCATGGGTGGAGAGCGAAGTCCGGGGCCGACCCCTCAGGGAGGACAAGGACAGCAACCGGGGTGCAGCGGCGAGTGGGGGAGCTTCTCATGAGCCCCGACCGCTGCAGCTCAGCGTTTTCCCCCCGGCCTCTGTCTCCTGAGCTGTGGGGGATGTTGGGGCGAGGGACTTTCGTCTCCTAGAGCAGGGACCCAATCCTTTGCATCTGTTTCCTTAGCAAGCCTCCACGGAAATGCTTTAGAACCCGGCGACGTCCGAAACCGGGTTACATTAGTAGCCGTTGCGTTTCCTGCACGTCTGTCTTTTAGTAAGACTGACAGCTAATATGTACTAAGCACACACACGTCACGCGCCACGAAGTGAACGCTTTGTATGCGTTTCTGCTTTTGCTGCTACCCCTGTCACCTGTTCAGAACCTTGCTTGTAGGGGAGAGATGTATCGACGAGTTGTTACATGTCTGTATAGTTTAGTGATATGGAAGGTCACACAGTTGTAGAGACAGCTCTGCGGGGTGCTTGTCAGCACCTCAGGTATTGTTTTATATATGGCTATCTGTCGAGGCCATATTTGGTGGTTTTTCTCTGGTATGAAAATAGTATGCTTGCATATTATCACTCAAGGGAGTGGTATTACCAGTTTCTCTTTCCTTTTCACTGTATGCCCCTATATACGTTGCAGTACTGAATATTAAAAGGGCATGAAGTAGTGGTCCATACTATTCCTAGAATGCTGTAGACAACACAGACTTTTACCTGAGGCTTTAGGTTATAAACCTGGCAGTGTGTTAGTATGAAAGTCACCACCACACACACCATTCTACTTTAGGGTTCACAGTTGTGGTGAGGCTAATGAGAATAATTATAATCTCGGGTGCAGATCATCTAGGGCCAGACAGGCAAGTGCTGTTAGGGTTTAGGGATTGTGTTTCATTCATTGCTATGCTGAATTGAATACTAGGGTCTCCAACTCCTCCTGTGATTCGTTAGAGATAGGGACTATGCTGGGGTTAGAGGAATTGAACAATCTTGTGATACAGATTTACTTAGGATACAGTTGTGAACTAGGTTAGCTGTAAGTTGTTGAAAACTTGCATCTTTAGTCATTTGAGTTAGGAACTTTTTGTGGGTTGTGAAGAAATAATTTCAGGTTTCAGTTAGTCACCTCGGGAAAGGTGTCCTTTGGGTATGAATCTCTTACTAGGTAATGGTTTAGCCTGAAGGGGGAAATGCTGGGTGCCACGCCAGGGCATAGAAGGCACTTTTGTCTGAGTCACTGGTTGTTTGTGAAGTTGTACTCGCTGAAGTTGGTAAAGGTAGGTAAGTCATCTTTCAGCAGAAGAGATGCCAGCGACATCAGCTCCACTGTGGATGTGCTGAAGATTTAGGGAGAGTGGCAGAGTCCAAGGAGGGTGCTCATGTTGTGTTGGCATTCACCAGAGGCTGCTGTGAGTGTAGCAGTGGCTCTGAAAAGTCCCTGTGTGTTTTCTCAATTTAAGATGCTGGAAGTAAGAGACTCACAGATGTTGTAGATGTAGAATAATGGCTTTCCAAATTATAAGAGTTCAATTTCTGGGAAAACTTTGGGTTGCCCCCTGAGTCCATGTAGTGTAAGCTGCTTTGGAAAGTGATCATCTTTAGGTGCTAAAGAAATTGCCTAACATTTTAGGTGTGAAGAATCTACCCTGGAAAAATTAAGTACTCAAAGATAAACATTTCCAAGTGGGAGAAGTGGCTTTTAGCTTTGTTTATGAGACTGGACACCATACATAACAAATCCCTTTAAAGAATAAAAGTAGAAAATGTCAAGTGTAGATTTTGTATAACTGCCGCCCTTGAATTCATAGCAGATATTTTAAGCTTGCTGTAGTAGAGAAGAGAATAGATTTCTCCAAATGTCAAGTCAAATCTATGTTTTTTAGGGTTGCAGGTGAAATAATTACATTCAGAATGTTTCTCTCATCATTTTAGCTTCATCTTATCTGTTGATGAAACTTTCCTATTGTCGAGAAAAACATGTTCAGAAATGTTAAGCATCAACTATCTGCATACAACTTAAAATAATTATGTTCTCATCTCTGACAGAATATTATATCTAGGAATTCATAATAAATATAAAGTTCTAGGCATTTACTTTTTTGTAAAATCTTTGTGCTGTTAGGAACCTACTTACAGATGGTTTGATAGAAAAAATAATTTCACAATGAAAAAGCTGACCAATTTGTAATCAAATCTTATGCATTTAAAAGTTTTGGAGGAGGATATGTATATGTGTGTATACACACACACACACACACACACATATAAAGTTTAGTGGGTTTAGGATCTCATTTAGGCCAGTGTTTCAAGCTGGAGAACCCCTTGTAAGATGTACCTTAAGCAGTACAGGGTATTTAGTAACATGCCTGACCAACACCTAGTCTGGATTTCCAGAATTTTTCTAGTTGTGACTGTCAAAGATATCCTAAGACAATTCCAAATATCATAAAGGGACAAAATTATCCTTGGGGTGGAAAATGAAGCCACAGTTGGCAGGAGGAGAACAGTTCCTACAAGATAGAGTTAACACCTCTATAAAGTAGCAGTTTGTTTGGATTTTTTTTTGGGCTTTCATCTCTGCCCTTGGTAGCATCAGGTTTTAAAGTAGATTAGCTTACTTTTCAAATTTAGAAAAGTATGTGCAGATAGAGTTCTTAAATCTCCTTTAAAAATGTATTTTTCCTTTCTGCCAACATTATTTTCAAATTTAAAATGACAAGGCAATGTTTGTATGAAAAGAGTGGCAAACATTTCATTTTTAAATATGATGATGACTGCCAGGAGAGGCATCCTTGGGACAGCAGTGCCCTCTGCCAGGTTTTAATGGAATCGTTTTTCCAGTGTAACCAGCAGATCTTTCTTGCCTGCTTATTTCTTTTTGCTTTTTTTCACAGAGGAACTTCTTACAGCTAGAGTTTGAAATATCCTCAGAGATGAGTGTGTTCAAGCCTTCATTTTTTCTTCAGATAAATCAGCTCAGCTTTAATCAGTTGGAATTTATTACATAAAGGGTCAGAATTATTTTGATGGAGAAGAGAAAAATATAGGAGAATTACACATAATCTAGCTGCTTCCCTTAGTTGGCTGTGCCTGGTGATCCACTGTCTAAAAGTACAGTGTGAAAGAAGGGAAAGGGAATTTTGCTGTGAAGGAGTCTGGGGGCTGTGTCCCCAGCAGGTGATCGGGGGGAACATCAGCCCCTCCCTAGGTCAGCTTGACTGTATGTACCCCTGATATGAGGTGCGGAAACACAATGAGCCTCAGCTGAATCCTGAGAGTTCCATCAAGCTGATCCTTACTGAGAAATGCTGTGTAAAGTACCTGATATGTACTCTGAATGATCTGGCTCTCCCTAGACAGGAGGGCAGAGGCAGCAAAAGAGCCATGACACCTAAATAGAATGTGATATCCTGGAGGGGAGTCTATAACAGGATATAGAAATTAGCTAGAATTCTAAGGAAATCCAAATAAAATAAGGAATTTAGTTAATAGTAGTATGCCAGTATTAGTTGCGACAAGATCTCAAATGAATATCCAGTGCTAACTGTGGAAGAACATAAAGTCTTGGCATACTAGAGTTCTGTTTTTCCAACATTCCTGTAAATCTTAATGTGTTCTAAAACAGTTGGTTTCTTAAACCAGGGAAAGGAAGAAGGCACTATGGTGGCAGAAAAAGCATAAGGTCTCTTTCTGCTGCCCCTGCATGGCTGTCTTTGTGTAAATGTCTTGCCTCTCAGGGCGGGGCATGTGAAAGCCACAGAGCTGCCTTTAAAAAAAAAAAAAAAAAACTCATTTTTTTTTTCTATTTCTTCAGCAGAGAGTGAAGATGAGGAAGATGAAATTGAAATGGAAGTTGAAGACCAGAATAGTAGAGACGCCAGAAAACCAAACATCATAAACTTTGACACCAGCCTGCCAACGTCACATACAGTATGTAATTTTGCAATTGAGCTAATACAGTAGATGGACCTTTAATGTGCTTGGAGTTTCCTAAATGGCAGTGACTGACTGAAGGATCCCTGCATATTAGCTGACCCTAGAACTTGTGGATGAGAATGGGCTCTTATCTCCCAGTACATAAGAATGTAATTTTACAAACTGAAGCAATGCAATACTATATTCTCCTGTGATTCTTGACTATTTTCTAATATGCAAACATACAGTCTTAACTTTTAAACTTATCCTGGGTGTGCCTCTTTGAGGAATTGTCTTCCTCTGAACAATTCTACTATGAACTAAGCCACCAAGAATGTATTCTTCACACTGCTGGAATGTGGGGTGCACAAAGGGGTTGTTGGTTAAAATAAGATATCTTAAGCTACAAAATACTGAGAGATTCTTCATAAAAAATTGGGAGTTCTAATAGACAATATTAGATCAAAAATTAGAGTTTGATGGAGGTGTCCTTATATAACCAAGCTTATATAAGTAAATATGTGTGCTCTGTCTATGTAGTTCTTTGACTCTGCTCTACCCTTTAATCTGCTACGGTGTATTAAGTGTCCTGACTCTGTTTTCTTGAGTAGTATCTGGGCGCTGATATGGAAGAGTTTCATGGGAGGACTTTGCATGATGATGACAGCTGTCAGGTAATTCCAGTCCTTCCTCAAGTGATGATGATCCTGATTCCTGGGCAGACATTACCACTACAGCTGTCCCACCCACAAGAAGTGAGCATGGTGCGGAATTTAATCCAAAAAGACAGAACCTTTGCAGTTCTTGCGTACAGGTAAGAGGTTAGGTGATCTGTGTACTGTGCTGCCCTCTGTGTTGGCACAGCAAGGTCAGGGTGGTAAACAAAGCCAACCGGAATTTTTCAGAAGATTAGAGTGTGAAGCAAACAATTTGTCAAAGCACAAATTGGGAATATTATTCTCATTACTTTGTAATTCAGACATTTACTTTTACAATTTAGCTGTCTGGCTGTTGAAAAGCTTGCATGCCTTTAATGGGAAACCTGCCTGGAATGCAAGTTCAGAACTGTTTTTATTCAGACAGCTAGGATTTTATATTTCATACTGAGGTTACTTTTCCCTTTCAAAACTCACAAAGTGTACCAATACAAAACAGTGGTAAACTGAAGCCGTACTTCAAGTAGCCTTTGGCAAATGAAGGAAATGTGGTGGAGACAGGAAATGGAAACAGGAAGCCTCCCATCACCCCAACACTCCCCACACACATGTGCTTAGAGCTGCTAATTAGCAGCAACCATCAGTGTCTAACAAAGTGAAAGAATGTGTACGTTGTGAAATGAGTTTAAAACTCTTTAGCCCTAGGTTATTTCAGTGACTCTAAAAATCTACCCTCATTCTAACGTGCTCTCTGGAGCCTCCTGTGTTAGCTTTACAGTGAAGGTTCACTGCTGTAAACTGCTTTCCTGTCTGTATTGCTTTTGCCGGTTTTGTGTATTTAAAGGCTAAAGCTGAAAACTCTTCTTGTACATTTTTCTCTTGGAAGTAATGCGCAAGAAAGGGAAGCACAGTTCGGAACCACAGCAGAGATTTATGCTTATCGAGAAGAGCAGGAGTTTGGAATTGAAGTAGTGAAAGTGAAAGCAATTGGACGGCAGAGGTTCAAGGTCCTTGAACTTAGAACACAGTCAGATGGGTAAGACACTTCAACATCATAGAGGGAGGTGGTTTTGTGGTCATTTGCTATTTTATAGCTTCACTAGTTGTTCTCTTTGCCTTCTATGGTGATGGCCATAGTTTCCAACCCTGATGTGTAGCAGACTTCCTTGTCCAGGGTAAACTGTTCAGGCTTCAGTTTCGGCCTCATCTCCTCTCCCAGGATGTGACTTAATATGGAGTGTGACTGTGGCATCGTTTAAAAATTATTTCTAGGCGACTGCAATATCCCTCCGGGTTTGAAACCAGTAATATGAGGCACGGCTTTTGGGGGACTGAAGAGCTCTCTGCAGCACAGGAGAATAGAAGGCAAAGGCTGTGCTCATGGTGTTCCCCGGGACAGGGGTGGCAGTGGCAGCATTCCTGGGCTATTTGAAAGCTACACTGATTACATCTGCCAACTGCTACCCTGAGCTGTACCAGCCACCGAGGTTTGTGGCTGTTTGCAGTGGGAGTTCTGTATCATCCCAAGATGCCTTGATATGAAGAATGAAGAAATGCCATTGTCGCTGCCCTGTGTGACATTTACAAGATTCCTGGGAATCCTAGTGCAGTCACATGGTTAGCTTTTCATATGATCAGCTATTTTCTTTTCCCATTAAATTCTGATAATTACCCCTCTTCCTAAAAAGGAAATGAATTCGAAGTAAGCATTTCTTTTTCCTGGTGTCATGTCTTAGGCACACATAGAAACCACTGTCATGTCTTAGGGGATAGTCTCTGGGGTCTACCTGTTGTAGGGAATCTAGCCTGTGGTCAGAACTGAAAATTCTGTCATACCTTTTTATTTCATATGTCATCTGAGCACAGGAATGTTTGAAGGTTTTAGGGATCAACAAGAATGTGAGCTGCATGAGAACAAGATTTGTTGTCTGTTATGTTCATATTGTAAGCAGCTGTAAATAGTCATATGCAGAAGTGCATGTGGTCAGGCAGCATTTCGGGACAAGAAAACAAGGATATTGGATGGGGTGTCCCAACTTGAGGGGCTTTTCTCCTGGTCCTTGCCTAGAACATTTCATTGTATAGACTCCAAGTCTTAAAGGGTTGTATGACTGAGACCCTCAATAGACAAGCTGCCAGAGAAGTGACTGAAACTTTTATGGTCTACATTTAGGACAGTGTTAGGTGAATGAGTACAAAGTGATCTGGGTATTGTGATATTTTGTTACCGTGGATCTTGCTGACAACAACAGCTTTTAATTTACTTCCTAAGCCGGGCGGTGGTGGCGCACGCCTTTAATCCCAGCACTCGGGAGGCAGAGGCAGGCGGATCTCTGTGAGTTCGAGACCAGCCTGGTCTACAAGAGCTAGTTCCAGGACAGGCTCCAAAACCACAGAGAAACCCTGTCTCGAAAAACAAAAACAAAAACAAAAAAAAAAAATTTACTTCCTATATACATTGAAGTTCATACAATTTGATTTTCTTTGACTATTATTTTCTAGATAAAAGAAATTGAGTTGGGAGAGAAAGTATATTTCTGTATGTGACTTTAATAATTAGTTGTGTAAAACTATAAAACACAAGCTGGAAGAAGTCACTGTGAGAAAGTAGTTCAAGAGACACGGTTACAATCTAGTAAAGACCAACATCACACTGGCAAATGTGGACTAGTCCTAGAAAGGGGAGTTCTTTCTAGTATTCTATAGACCTAGTATATATTAATTCTCTAGTGTTCCTTAGACCTTATGTATATGTGTTCTTTCTAGTATTCTATACACCTAGTATATATTAATCCTTTTTAGTATTCTATAGACCGACTACATATTAATTCTTTCTAGTATTCTATACACCTAGTATATATTAAAGCCTCTCAAAAAAGATGTCTCAATTTGAAAGCCCTCGTGGATTAAGATTTCTTTGCTTCCACTCCCACCCTGGTCTGAGACCACCGTCACTTAAATGACGAATTTAAGAAACCATGAAGGTGGTCTAGGGCAGTCTCTTCTTTTGGCAAATGAAAATAAACTAAGTCCCAGTGAGGTTACTTGTCAAACATTGTGCAAGTAAAAGAGAAACAGCTGGTTTCATCCACATTCTGACTCCCAAACTAGCAATCGACCAGTATACCAAAGTTTCTCCTTAGCACACTGGGAACTTAACTCTATGAAATAATCTGTAGTTTAAGATTCACTTTTTTCGTTTTTGTTTTTGACCTAAACGACACTGCATTAATGAAGTACAGTGTTTGCTTCTAACCTTTCCTATTAAAAGTCTGGTTTTCAAATACATAGACTTTTTAAAAATAACACATAGAAGGGTATATTTGACTTGGTGTAGGACTCTTGAGAAATCTTTCCTATAAGTGTACAGAAAAAGATTAATATCCTGTTGAAATTCTGAGATTTTTTATATATCATATCTGAAATAAGTAAATTTTAGTGAAAAAGTTTGAAATATATATTACAAACATTTTAGCTGAAACTTATATTAGAGTAACATTTTGATTTTTGGGGAGACAAGGTTGTTTCTTTGGGTTTGCAAATTCATTTGGATGTAGATGCTCCTAGATTTTCTTTACACATTACCCATCTATATCTGTAAGTAGTTTCAACAGGCATTACAATAAATGCAAAATCTTAAATTTTACAGTTTTCCCCCAATTTCACGTGTTTTTGTAGTCTGTTATAAAATCATGTTGTTATAATCATAAAGTAACTGTCATAAACACCTAAGGAAGAACCAACACACGCATACACACCCACCCCAGGCATGTAGAACAGGACCACAAGGGCTTACTTTATCTATCCCTAGTTCTGAAAGACAAAGTTCTGCAGACAAAGACCTGGCATGATATAGAGGACACTGGTTCTGCATTGTCTTTGGTGCAATAAAATTTTGTCTAGAAACAGAGAGGGAGAATATGTATGTATGTATGTATGTATGTATGCTTATTCAAAGTTTGTGTGTGTGTGTATGTTTATGTCTTTTCCTTTCTCTGCCTGTTTTTGCTGCCTGGATATTAATGACAAATAGTGTGTGAGCCTAGAGACTTGGGGATGGAGCGTTATCTAAGAATATCTATGAAATTAGATGTGTTAGGATAATCTGCAGGCTGTATGCGGAATTTTTAAAATAAATTTTGCTTCGTTTGTGCCTACATATTTATCTGAAATGTATAGTTTCTTCTGATTCTACAAGGGAGAATGAAATCTAAATTATCTCTTATATTTTATATTAAGATTTATTAAACAATTGTTTTGAAAATTTCTTATACACATACATTACAAATATAGTATTTGCTCCATTTGTTTAAAGTGGGGAACTTGGAAAAAATCTTATTTAAAATTATATCAAGAAACTAACATTATATCTTCAAAATGAACAACATGCTTCTCTTTGTTTTAGAATCCAGCAAGCTAAAGTGCAAATTTTGCCAGAGTGTGTGTTGCCATCAACTATGTCTGCAGTTCAGTTAGAATCACTCAATAAGTGCCAGATATTTCCTTCAAAACCTGTCTCTTGGGAAGACCAATATTCATGTAAATGGTGGCAGAAATACCAGAAGGTGAGACACTAATTTTTTATGCATCTTCTAGAACTGAAGACAGGTTGCTTTTAAAGAGTCACGACTGTCATGACATTTTCTAGACACTGTAGCTCACTTGGTCATAGGCAGGTTTAAAAAATAATTCACGAGGAGTTATTTATGAAAGATAACTCGCAGTAGTTGTGAAATGTCACACAATTCTTAGACACTGTTGATATTATACTTATCATGTATGTATTAATGGCCTGTGGCCCTTAATTCCATAGGAACCTTAGAAAACTCTAATCACATTATTTGGCTTTTGAGTTAAATGCAGCCTTGAAGAAGGGACAAGATTGTTTGGGCTGGCATTCAGTGACAGTAGAAAAGAACGCTGTCCTTAGACTTTTCAGAGGAAAATTTTTGTCAGTTGTTTTGCAGCATGCGCTGATTGTGGCAAAAATTGACTTGTGAGGGTAAGGCATTGCTTGTTTGGTGCTGGGAATGGAGGTCAGTGGTTGGAGTCTTGCCTAGAAGAAAGCCAAGGGTGCTTGTTTTGGCATTACATCTTATGTAGTCCATTGGCTACACAAGTTCACCTCTGAGGAGAAAAGCGAAACCGGTTCTGCTCCATGGGGAGATATGTACTTCACAGTAGGTGTATGTGTAAATAGCTTTAGGTATAAAACATGCTTCTTAAACTGATGATTTTCCCATAACGAAGAAATGTATAATAATTTCTAAGTTTAGAAGTTGGGTTTTGGTACTTGCTAAAAATACAAAAAGATTATCTCCACTGTAAACATAAAAGTTCATGTGAATCATCCCTACTCTTCTAAGTTAGATTAGGAAAGGTTTACATTTTGCTGTAGGTATAGCATGGCATCCTAAACTGATGTGAATTAGTATATAATATTCATGACAGGATCTATTTCTTTTCATTGTTCTATCACATTTAGTATTCTTTTAGAAGACTTCAGTTTCTAGAGAACTTTGGGCAGACTGGGTGCTTGATGGTTTTCTAACTTTTAGGATACACAGTTTTATGTTCTGTTAACCGTTCCTTCATAGTGCAGTATGCTTTGCTTAGTCTAATGCTCTACACAAGTATAATTAGACTGCTTAAACACATGCAAAAAGAACCTTGAAAGGAATATTTTAGAAACTTTGACATTGTTGCAGGCAGCTTTGGTTCATCTGTATAGTACTTCCTTTTCTAAATTGGGTATAGAGATTTTCAATATATCTATCTTTATTTACTTATCAGTACAACAGTGGGGGATTAATGTTCATGATTATTTTAAGCATAATTCTTAGAGTGAGTATGTCAAAAGGTTCTATCAAGGAGTGTTGTTTTTTATTTAATCGGGCTCTTTAGTACTATCACTTGTCTGCCAATGAAGTGATTATGTGACAAATTAAACATATCAAGATGCCCGCTCCCTACATGTCATGTCAGTATTTAGTTGTTCATCTCAATGACTGGTATCTTCTCAGTAGGACTTATTTTGAAATTTATAATTCATATTGGGGCAGTAATGGGAATTCTTAACTATCTGAACTTTCTAAATTAACTCCTCTTTGAAAATTAGTAAGTATAGGATGGGACTGTAACTAATAACTGACTTAAGTCCTGTCCTGGCCACAAGACCTTGAAATTCTCAACCTGAACTTCAATTAAGCTATTACAGTTTGTGAAGTTTAACTTTTATGTTCCTTATTTGTTAAACTCTTCATATACTAGACAGAAGTGTCTCTGCATGTTTACATTGAATTTAGAAATTTTTTCCTTTGCAACTGGATTGTCACTGGCTCGATGGGCAAGGAAGCCACTGCTTGTGTGTTGACAGATCACCTGAATTCCTGAGTCTTCTGTCATCCTAGGTTTGCATTCAGCCCTCACTGACTGTGGGAAGAGTTGCCAAAGCCTTACCAGAAGGAACTAGGGAATGAGGTAGCACATGAGATTTTAAGAGATTTACAGAAAGCCTTTGTATTTTTCAGATTATTTCAAAGCTTTCCTCATTTAAGCTTATAATGTCTTAGCTTCTGAAATTTGGAATCTTGATCATGAGATCAAAAAAAAAATGTTGCTAGCAAATGTATGTTGTGCCCAGGCAACTTGTAAACTTAGAGCTATTCAGTGCCCAACAGAATATAGACTCTAAAACAGGGAAGAGCTACAGGGATGGTTGGCCAGGACTGCATGCTGCACTTGTAGGTGGACATTCGATTGCTTTGAAAATGGTCTGAGTTTTGCTTGTGTTTAGACAGATGTGGGGTTCAGTTCAGACCTCTTCCTAGAATTGACACACAGTTGTACAGCCCACCACAAAATAAAGCCATATTAGATGTGTCCTTTTTCCATGGCTGAGTAGTAGTTAAGGTGGAAGAGTTGGGACATTTGTTAACATGATTTAAAGGTAGTTGTCACACTTCCAATAGGAAAGATAAAGCATTCAGGAGAACACGGTCTTCCTGGATTACATTTAGTTATCTTTGAATTTATATAAACTACCCAGATATCATAAAGTAATATTGAAGCTTCGCCGAGTGTTCTGTGCAACCTCTTATTCCTACAAAGTACCATAGGAATGTAGAGGAAGTCCAATAGACATGTGTCTGCTCAGCATGTTGGATGTTGAAAAGGGGAAAATATTGGAGCCAAGTTAATTGGGAAACACTTCAGACCTATTCCATAGAGATTTGATTTCCTGAGATTCAGGCTTTGACACTGGTGTTTACTTTTATTATATTTTTATTTAATTTATTTTTACTATCATGGCCCCTTTCTAAACTCACCAGAATGATTGGAAGAGATTTTCCAAATGGCAAACTTTTTCATCCCTCTTGTCTGCCCATATATAAAGCTTACCCTGTTAATCAGAAGAGTTAACTCTGAAATAATAAAGTAATCAATGTGAACAATAGAAATCTGTAATGTTTGATGTTCATCCTTTCAGCCTGTGCTAAATAAATAAACAAGAGATTCCTGTGTGTCATGTAGAGCAGAGTAGAAATGAGTACAAACTTCCAAAGCCTTCAAACTTGCTCTAGTTTTTAATGCTCTAGAGTTTATAAAGATACAGATATTCATTTTTCTTGCACCTTATGCAAAAGGATATCCGCTACTGTTGACCACCTCTTTTACTAACAGTGTTCTACAGGAGACTCCTCTGTATCTTTTGATAGACACAGCGTCATTCCTTTCTAAAGCTGCAGCAGGCTGCTGTATTTTACACTAGTCACCTCTGACACCTACACTAAGTGTACAGATACCCTTTGCACAAATACATACATATGCTCAATCCTAATAGTGAGATGAAGTGACAATGCGGGCTTGTAGTTTTCCTTATAAAGGAGTTATTTACCTGCTGGTATTCATTGTTGCCACGGTTTCATAGTTAATATACAACCATGTTTGTTGATCTGGTAAGTGTACCTTGTGGGTTTAATTTTAACTTAATTTGCATAATTACTTATAGCAGTTTACTTAAGGGACTTGTGTATTTCTTATGAATTTAGGAAGTTTTTATCCGTATTTTTTCCCTAGTGGCCCACTGGTTTCTCAGAACTCTTGACAGTTGTCATCTTTGTAGTCACAAGCCTGTTTCGTTTGTCATGTTAGTGTTGGTCATGGTGTGCTGTTTTTAAGGGGTCTTTACTTAACTGTATTTTAGTACACTGCCTTAGTGTTCTAAATTGTAACTAATAACTTCCCAAGGGAGGACACACACGATTTTTCTCTTGATAATGAATTTTATGTAAACAAGAGTGCAGTTAACCAGCGTGTCACTGTTTCCAGGTGGCTTGTCTTTGTCCCATTTACAGTTTCTGAGAGTTCAGTGATTTGAGGGGCCGCCTCAGACTAGATTAGTTTTATCTTTTACTTCTGGTACTGTGTCAGCCTACATGTACTGTGCTGCGTAGCAATTCTCACGTTTACAAGCACTTTGAGTATAAATGGGGCCTCTGGCCTTCTCACTGCCCCCTTTTCAATGAAGCTTTCTAAGCTGTTTCTAAGATAGGTGTAGTCAGATATTAACACAGAGAGACTTGTGATTTTTTTTCATGCCTTGCACACATACATATTTGTATATCTACACATAGATATTTGTATATCTACCGCTAGTTTATAAGTCACTAGAATAGTAAAGATCCTACCAGCTCCCATTACTAAGAGAAATTTGGTAAAAGAAAAACAAAACCTGTCAATTTCCAATTTATTTAACTAAATTTTATCATTTACTTTGTTCACTATAATAGATAAAACAAAAATATCTCTGGACTCCATGTAATGAAAGAAGTCAGTGGAATGATTTTTAAGGTTTTTTGTTTTTTTTGTTTTGTTTTGTTTTGTTTTGTTTTTTTTTGCTTTTCCATTGTCCTATTAGTTTCATTGCCAGTTTGATTGGCCTTTCATCATTTTTAAAATTTTTTTGTAGTTTTAGTTCAAAGATCATTATGCATGCTATCAGTAGCAATCTGTTCCATGAACAACTACAAATTCTATGAAGAGTCTGTTCTTAGTCCCTTTAAGTTCCTAAATTTGGTGGCTATTGAAGTCTGGCCCGTTTTACAAAGTAAGCCTTGAGCAGCACTTGTAATCTGCTGAAAGTTAGCAACAGTATCCACACAGGATAGAAGCCCCTCTCAAAGTGCTGAAAGTCAAGAGGGACTCATGAATGTAAGAACACACATTTCTGCTCCCTTCAGTTTGTGTAATTACTATTAAACATTAAACACATTTTTTTGTACATAGAATTCTTAGACTCAGAATAATTGGATAAAGGTTTTTAGAAGTCCTTTTCTTCAATAGGAATTGAGACTCTAGTTTGCTTGTAGGTTGGGGCCCTGTAATGGGATGGCAAAAAGAATCATGTCCCCTGTGATTGAAGAATTTCTTTGACGAAATTACAAAAAATACTTTATATATTTAATATGTATTATATATAGTGTATCACACTATTCAGACAGTAATATCCTAGGTCTTCTATTCATTCTACCACTGACCCACCCAGAACAATGAACAATCCTGCATAATCTATCCGTGGTAAGTCCCCCATGTTGGCATAACACTTCTTATTCTTTTATATTTGTTAAGCATAGTTTGTAATACACGGGTATTTACCATTGTGTTTCAGTTGCTGGCATACTCAGTATAGTAATATGCCATATGAGCTTGCAAGTGTATAGTAACCACCCTGGTGCTCTGTGTTGAATGCTGTTTTTGACGAGCATTTCTCAGAGTGCACTGTCATTAAGGTGTTGAAAGTGTTTGCCATCTATAAGAATGCCTTTCAGATAACCACCTACCATAAGATTGTGAATACATTTCAGATAATCTATCGGTAAGCTTTTAAAAATTAGAAATTTTAGGTGTTACTGTTTGTAGTATTTGTTCCTTTCCCTTGAATTTTCCTGAGTGACACTTTTTGTTTCAGAGAAAGTTTCACTGTGCAAATCTGACTTCATGGCCTCGCTGGCTGTATTCATTATATGATGCTGTAAGTAACTTACTAGTCCTGACTTGTATCTTAGCAAAATAGGATGACACATTTTTGGTTACTGAAATTATGGTCATGTGAAAGCCACACTGTAAGATTTCTTACATCAGAATATTGTTTTCCAAACAAGTGCATTCCAATGTATCTCTGTATCATTAGCATAGTAACTGATGCATCTACACAGGCTTGTGCTATCAGTTAAAAGTATGCACTGACAGGGACTAGCAAAATCACTAAGAGACCGAATACTAGGATAACTTGAAGAACCTTAATTTGGAATACAATGAATGCCTTCAAAGCCCAATCAGTTGCACTGTTGTTTGAGGCAGATGGGCATAATAGAAACTATTACATAGTAAAGATTAAACAAATATTACTTCTATTTCTTAGTGAATCCCTGCCAAGAAATTTAAAGAACTGGAAAAATAAAACAAGTAATTTGAGCAAGTATGACATATGTACCACTAAAAGAAAACACAGGTGCCCTCTGCCCTTCAGCAGCTCTTGAACCTTACAAAGGCACAGATGCAAAAACGTGTTAATGCCTGGAAAGATAGATAGCAATTTTCTGTAGTAACTAGTTGCTAAGTGGGGTGTGTAGCAAATGCACTGAGCCAGGAAAGGCTTGGGAAAGGTCAGAAGAGAGGCCAGTTCAAGCAGCAGTCTAAAACAGCATCCAGAGGCATTTAGAATCACATAGTCCTTGGAATAGACAGCCTAAGGGTGAGAAGCCAGGAAAGTTGACCTACTTGCTAGTCAAAGGAGTTAGAGGCAAGCAGTTCCACTTGTAAAAACATTGTGTCTGGTCTCAGATTTAGTACCAATGTATGGTTTTTAAAGGGGCTGAACCTTATTGTGGTTACTTTTATTTTAAACCAGGAAACATTAATGGATAGAATTAAGAAACAGCTACGTGAATGGGATGAAAATCTCAAAGATGATTCTCTTCCTGCGAATCCAATAGGTATGGCAAATACTACAAGCTGTGGTATGTTGTTGGAATTTTTTTTAAAAAAAAACCTTTAATTCAAACTCACCTTTTATGAATTCTGAAAAGGCATTTGTATCTTTTACTTTGAAAAACATTTTTCAAGAAATTAATATTTTAAGCAATAGAATCTATTTTGTTAATTTTCTACCTAAATTTGAATTGCAGAAGTGGTTCTCATGTAGACACTTCCTGTTCTTTATAGAGCTTTTACAAGTAAATCTGGCTCCAGAACTTAGCTTTGTCATTTCTATATTTGTAAGTCAGTTTCATTCAAGTATGTTTGACTTAAAAGAAGGTAGCTGGAATATAAGTATATATTAATGATTCCTAAGTTTAAAGCCTGCATACCTCTCCCTGTCTTTTAAGACTTTTCTTACAGAGTAGCTGCTTGTCTTCCTATTGATGATGTGTTGAGAATTCAGCTCCTTAAAATTGGTAGTGCTATTCAACGACTTCGCTGTGAATTAGATATCATGAATAAAGTAAGTAAAGATGCATGTCTGTTGTGTGGATTGTCACACTGTTGAGATCAGGAACTACCTCTATTGTATAGGACTACAGTCATATACTGGAGAGGTACTTGTTTGCTTCTTCTGGTTTGTACTGAAAAGCTTTTCTCAAATCTGAAATGTTCTGTAATTCAGACCATTCCAAATCTGGAGGATTAGGATGTTTAAACAATCAAGTCATACACATACACACACACACTATATATATATATATATATATATATATATATATATATATATATATATATACACACACACACACACACGCAGTCAGTATACCTTTGAATAAGGTATAGTCAACCTGAAAATCTGAATTTTTGCAATCCTTAAATATTAATCCTAGGCTTCATATAAATTTATCAGGTTGGAAGTGTGACATATAAAAGCCAAGACATTTGTACCCTAAAGAAGTTTATTCATGATTTGGGTAACATGTCTGTTTTTGCACTTCAACTTTTTAGTGTACTTCCCTTTGCTGTAAACAGTGTCAAGAAACAGAAATAACAACCAAGAATGAAATATTTAGGTAAGCTCTTTATTACATTTAGTATACCTCTCAATACATTTTCAACTTCCTTTTAAAATTTTTCTTCCAGTGCCTAAAAAATATACTCAATAAAGAAAATAAACACAGGGAGTTAACTTGGCTTGGGTAAGGCTGTCTCCCAGGCTGGAAATATCTACAATATATATACAATATATTTTTCCCTCAAGTTTTGTTTTAAGCTTGAGGTACTGTATCTTCTGACAAGATGAGTGCTTCAAGCATTATCTTTCAACTAGTTATGCTACAAATGACCAAAATAGGGCATGCCTGAGTATGTGTTAATGCTGTGATACAGGAGTTTAACACTTTGATGAATTCAGTAGAATTATAAAATAAGACAGTAAATCAAGAAAGGAAACTGATGTCTTCAAAGCATCTAACTGTCCAAAGATGAATAAATATGACCTTTTTATTAGGCTTTTTAAATAATAGTGTTTCCCTGGAATCACCAAAGAAAATTTTCAAGCAATAATAGAATATCTGCCAATCTCTTGTATATACAAAATTCAAAGATTAATATATATATATTATATATTGAATATAATAATAAAGCTAAATATATCCCAGGAAGGAAAAATTGGAGTTACTGTTTTTTTCTTTTCATTATCTTATTCTTCATACTACTTCTTTGTTACAGTTTATCCCTATGTGGTCCAATGGCAGCATATGTGAACCCTCATGGATATGTACATGAGACACTGACTGTGTATAAAGCTTCCAACCTGAATCTGATAGGTCGGCCTTCTACAGTACACAGCTGGTTTCCTGGGTAATGTGGTTGTGTTCACTGTTTTTTACTGACTCCTCGTTTAGTCTTCAGTGTAGCGTCTAGAAATGATACAAAACAAATATGACAGGAATAATTTTAACTAATCTTCATTTCATCAATAGGTAGAAATGAACTTGGTGTGTGTGTATCGTTGCATATGTTAGGGTTAAAAACTGAAGTATCTGTCAGCTCACTGCAGAACTTTATGATCCACTGTAACTACAACTATTGGTTGATCCACTGATATGTGACTCAAAGGCCTTAAGCAGGGACATAATGAGATGTAAAAACCAGAAAATCTTGGTTTATCTAGCCTGCTTTATTCTGGGCCACACCTTTACTTTGAAAGTGGCAGAGGAATTGGGGATTAGTGATTTTACTGCACCTGGAAAAAAAAACCTTTTATTTGACATCATTCTTGAAGACTGTAAAACTAACAAAATATGTTAATGTAAACATTAAATGCAGAATACTCCAACTTGCTAACTTGAGAACAGAAGTGCCTTATTTTCAGGGAGGTCATGGGCTCTTTCCTTTACATCATCTGTATCTCCAAGATTGCTGTTCTCTAACAATAATGTAGTAGAAAGCAGTGAGATTAAGCCTGGACTGATGCAGTCCTCTGCAAACAGCAATATAAAGAAACTTATAGTGATAAAATTATCAAATCATAGTATCAATACAATATTGGTAAGGTAGCTTTGTAAATTCATGAGGTTTCAGAGAAATTTCCTGACAAGCCTAGATCAAAGGTTAAAATAAAAATAGGTTGCTTAGCTTGTGTTTTCCTTCATTTCGTAGGTATGCATGGACCATTGCCCAGTGTAAGATTTGTGCGAGCCACATTGGATGGAAATTTACAGCCACCAAAAAAGATATGTCACCTCAAAAGTTCTGGGGCTTAACTCGCTCTGCTCTGTTACCCACAATTCCAGAAACTGAAGATGAAATAAGTCCAGACAAAGTAATACTTTGTTTGTAAGTGCATTGTAGGAGTAACTTCCTAACGAATTATTTTCTCAAGTCAGATCTGCTCCAGAGGTCACTGTCTCTGATATGTGTATAGTGGTTACAGCATTTGACTACCAAGTTCAAGAGCACACTTGTTCAGAGGATGAAAAAGCAGAATAAAACACAAGGTTGGATTCAGAAGTATCAGCTTTAGTAGCTTGGTGCCATTAATTATCCTGTTGAATATGTGTCATTGATGTTTGAAATGATGAGAATGACTATGGAACAGGATTAGGGCACAGCTCCACTAAATGATGAATGTTCCAGCTCAGTTGGCAAGCACAAGACAGAGGCAAAGCAGTGTATATTATTTTGAAAGGAACAAAGTCCTTTTAATTTTCTTTAGCTTGTCTGAGATACTAATTTGTAAATTTTGAAAATATTAAAGAGTAAAATAAGCAGTTTGAACAGAAAAAAATAGCATTTTGTGTATTTGCACTATTTATTTGATAACCGTCATGTGTAAGACCCTTTAAATAGTAATATATATGCATTTTGCATTTAAGTGAACAGTATATCTTTCTGGGATTACGTCCTTTAGGAAATAAAGGTTAAAGCAATTAAAGGGCATCTTTAAATAAAACGTACCAAAACTTAATACCTATGTCCAAACCTGCACTTTAGTTGAATTATGTAAGTCAAAAAGTAATTAAGTAAAATTTGAAGTACAGTAATAAAATGTAACTCCTCAATGTCACTTTTTAAGTTCCACTTGAGTTCATTTAAGCTGTAGTCATAAAGTGAGGGAATTCTGTTTTGTCCTTGTGCAGTGTACTCTCATGATCCATACTTTTACCTGTTTACCATTACTTGCTGACAGTACTGTTTAAAGGATAGCACTCCATCTGTATACTTCCTACATGCTTAGGCAGGTAGTGACAACAGAAGGAGCTCCATGGTTAAACTCCCTCTTATTTGGGCTTCGTCATGAGTGATTTTATCAAACTCTAAACCATATCCATCTAATTAGTAAAATAAATACTTGTGCTCACTATCTGTGGGACCTGATAGATTTCCTTTGCACACATAAGGAAATCACAAAGTCCTGTATAAATGAATGGCACTGTGGATTAATTTTAAAACTCAGCGAACAGCTAAGACAACATTAACTAGTTATTTAGCACACACAAGTGTTGACAGTTACCACATCCAGTCTAAACAAGTGACAGCTACAATTTTCTCATCAGCACTACTCCTAGAGACTTGGAGAATTCAGAGTTAAACCTGTATTGAGAGGACATAGACTTGCTCAGTTTTTCTATACTGCTATACAAGAATTTTTTCTTGCTGCTGTTTCTTAGGATTTAAGTAAGAAACAGAAGGAGATAAAACCAGTCTTACCAAGATTTCCCACTATTTCATATGGAGCTCATTTTAGGTCTTCTTTATATAACTCAGAAGTTCATCTTTTTCCATTTGGTAACCACTTTTCTTCCACTGTTCACGCAACTGCTGTAACAGGGCTCCAATTTCCTTTCCTGAAGAAATACCCACTTTCCGGATGTCATGTCCACTCACGGGGAATGGCGGGACAGACCACTGCTGCATCTCCTTGAGCAGACCATGCTCTCCTTGGTACTTCAGCAGCTCACATACACGAGCAATTGCATCCGGTTCCCTTGACTAAATGACACACAATTTTTCACGATTAAATATTCACAATCTCATTCCACTATTTACTTATATAAAAGTCTACAGTTAGAATAAAAAAATGCTTCTCTGGTTAATGAAGAACTATTTTTACGACCAAACCTAATACATACTTACATCTATAACGAAGTCTTGATATGGTTTCAGTGGTTCTGAACTATCTGTTGCTTTAATCAAGTCTTTCCTGTTTTTAACTATAAATAAACCCAAGTTTTTCTCTTCTTTTGAAATTTTCAATCTCAAATCCAGTTTTGTGACATCATCTTGTACTTTGAATAAAGAGGCCAAAAGAGTCATTGGCTTTGGTGAAAAACCTTCAACATTTTTACTGACTTTGTTAAATTCCTCTAAATTTGCATTAGCAGGTAAACCTGTATGGCAAAAAAAAAAAAAAAGACATTGTTTTTATTTATAAAACCCTAGTCATTGTTTTTAATTATAAAACCCTCACTTGTCTCTCATACCACGTAGTTTTGTGGGTTTTTTGAGGCTTTCTCTGTATAGCTTTGGAGTGTGTCCTGGAACAGGCTAGCCAGATCCTGTCTGCCTCTTCCTCCTGAGTGCTGGGCTTAAAGGCATATGCCACCACTGCCCAGTCCACCATGAAGTATTTTTCCAGCAGTATTCTTTTTCCACTTTTTTTTCTCAGCCCATCTGTCACTCTCAACTCCTAGGAAACCCTATCATGTTCCTGTTTTCCCTAGCAAGCTGTAGCAGGAGGCCCAGGAGCCATGGTCACGTCAAGTGCACAGCAGATGCTTTCTCAGTCATGCTCCCGTCTGCACCCACTCCCGCTCAGTAAGTCTGTGTTCCTGACTGGCCTCATTTCTACATACTAAGTTTTCTTGGAGAAGGAGTAACTAGGTCTAACTGCTTTTTGATGATAACCCACCTGTAAAGCCAGTAAGTGGCACAGCTTCATCAAATCCAAGTGTTCACTGGACTATTCTTTACCCATAAATTGTTAACCTTTAATCCCAATGTTTACCTTAGAATACAATTTCCCCACTAAAAATTCCTTAGCTATATAACACAAAACATTTTACCTCATGTACTTTAAACTAGGTCTTTTGTTGCTCAAAATGTTTACATAGTTGTATAACCTATGCTCACCTATGTGAGAAGCCACATCAAGATCATAGATCAGGTGGATCAAATGGTTTACATGGTTCCCAGTGAGAATTTTCTTCAGTTCTATCCAAATCCTCTCTCCTGATATTCCAGCCAAGCCTTTGGCATTTTCTGCAATCGCTTCTAGAGTCTCGGGGTCATGGTCACCAGGTTTGTCCACAATTCTGCCATAAAACCTGTAAGACATTTGACGTGTGACTTTTTTTTTCTTTAAGGTTTTTTAAAATGTTTTATTAAAGAGGAAAAAACCCTACAAGACAAGCCTCAGAATTTTGTTACTTCTATACCAACGTTTATCACCATATAAAGTATTTTTCCATTTTTTCCCGGGGTTGTTTCCCATCTAGGTAATGGGTCAACAAAACATAGACAGAGCGACAATTTCAAAGTTTTGCTGTTTGGTCTGTTTTTGACAGATTGTTTGCATATACTCGCTTAGAAAACTTGGATTTATTGACTAAATACTTATGCCCTGCTACACAGTATTCTGAGTGGGCCCAAAAAGTGGCCAGTGAATGTTACCAGATGCACACTACTCAGGTCGGCATTTTTTATTTAAGGTTAGAATTTGGATTTTTTTAATCCCTGGTAAGAAACTATCAAGATAAAACCTACAGAATGTTTGTAAATGTCCCATCAGATGGGGCATTATAGAAGGAATTCAAAAATAATTGCAAAATGTATAAATGATCAAAAGTCTATGAATCATGTCTAGTATCACTAGTCACCAGGGAAATGCACAGGAATCACTCCAGGGAGAATGGCCCTTATCAAAGGCAGCAAGTGCTAAACAAGGCAGACAGAAACACACTTGTAAAGCTAAGCAGAAGTAAACTAGCATAGGCACTAAAAAATGGGGAGAATCCTCTGAAGACAAACAGATCTACAATGGTTTATATCCAAAGAAAGTCAGGTCAGTATGAGGTGACCCCGGCTCTCCTGTGTTCCCTGTGGGTCACTTTTGAAAATAAACTGCTGATCAACTGTTAGAAAATGTAGCGCATTGAACATGTGGTACAGTGGCCTGAAACTTATGGTTAGCCAAGGCTGGCCTTGAACTCATGACCTTCCTGCCTTAGGATCCCTCAGTGTTAGGATTATAGGCATATGCCGCCACTCCTGATGCAATATCCTGTCAAGTATAGCAATAGATGAAGCTAGAGATGACTGTTAAATAATCTAGACACAAAAAGACTAGAAATGCATAATCTCATTATGTATCAATGTAGTCAAAGAAGGTGAGCCTAAACCGAGGATCAGCTGACTCATCAGTGGGCAATGATGATAGGTACACACACGAGATGACATCCTCATCACTGATCCAGACTGGAGTGACACAGATAACCAAAAAGCTTGAAGGAGTATGATGTTTTCTCATAAACATGCTATGTGTTTGAGGGCAGACAGGAGCTTTACCTTAAATTACAGTGTATCACAACATTACATATACATGTATAGAAGTTGAAAGTCATGCCTACAAAAATTAAAATCACTGCTACCCACAAATCTATCCATGCATCTTACACTCACCAAGGTTATCCATCTTTTAAGTATATTTATCTATATTCTGATTTAGTTCGCCACTCATTTAATAGCATTTTCTTTTTGTCAGTGTCGTTTTGTGGTGAGGCATCTGAGCAGGTCTGTCCCAGAGCATCTCATACTCTGCAGCTCTGTGAAGGCAGACACTTTAAGTCATCCTCACTGTGATCAGAGCACCTAGCACTGTGCATGGTGAGGACTCAAACCACAATGAAGCAAAATACATTAAAAACTTAAAGCTTTCATATAGAACATTCCACAAAGGATGGTTTATGTATATTTTGAAAGTCAAAGGGTGCTACCTCATCACAGAAGACAGGTACTTGGGGGTCCCTATTTTATATTTCTGCTGATATGCACTACACAAAAAAGGACTGTGCTCAAAGGGAAAAAAACCTGAAATTTTCTGTTGTTAAAATTTACAAATTCTTACCTGAAATATCTTAAAATTCGAAGATAGTCTTCTTGAATTCTCTGGTTAGCATGTCCGACAAATCGAATTTTTTTATTTTTTAAATCTTCATAACCATTAAAATAATCAAACAAGGTACCATCAAAACCTATTCATTATAAAAGAGGGAAGAAAAATCATTGGCAAGAATTTAGAGTGGGAAGGAAAAAGAATCATCTGAAAACTACCACACAGTAAAAATTCAATAAGGCTAAAAATTACAAACGAACAAAATCAATTTACTAAATTCGTATAAAATGGGGAGGGGAAGACACCAGACAAGCTAATTTTCATATTAATACAGAACACCACCAGCAATGAAAACATATATTCGTAAAATATGAATAGAAAGAGACCCTGCCTCAAAAGTATTGGTGGAAAGTAATACAGAGCACTCAATACCGTTTTCCATCCTCTGTGTACATGCATACATGTGCATATACACATATGCATACACCCATAAACACAAATAAATCTTAAGCATAGTAATATAGTAGACAAAAACTATTTGAAAATAAAAATATGCTTATTGGTAGGAAAAAGAAGAAAGCCAGCATGCATCATACAGAAAATTACAAGCTTCAATAATATTCTGGGGAAAATATATCAGTACCAAAAGAGGCTAATGTCTCATTTCCCTAATATGCAAATGCTGTTTTGAAATAAACAGACCCAAGATGGTAAAATACCTATTATCTCAGCATGAGGACCCTAAGAGAAGAGTTTTTAAGATGGTCTGAACACATCCTCAAAATTGAAAATAACAAAAAGCAAAACAAATAAAACACAGGTTAAAAAAATAAAACCCAGCAATCTTAAAAAATAACATTTTAACCTTAGTCACAAGGTTTTGAAAAGCTTTTCAGATTTCTCTCAGACTGGATAATATTGGGCAAGTCTTTAAGTGTTTCTGGGCTGTTTTGGATTTATGCATTAGAATCTTGATTTATATGACAATTTCCAAAAGTTCCATATGAAACAAAGCAAAAATGGAGAAAAGAATGCTAAATAAGCAAAATAAGACTATAGCGTGTACCTTAAGATCATGTTCTAATACAAGAATGGCAGGATGGCTAACTCTCCCAAGCTACCATGTACAGGCCCCTCATTTCCATCTCTAGTAATGCAAAAAGAAACAGGGAGGGGTGATAATGTCTTTGGAAGCAAAGTAACCAGCCATTAACATCCATACTATTAATGTTTGAACCAGTAACAACTGAAAGAAGCCTGAAGAAAACTAGGCTAATGTAAGCATTGTTATTGTTTTGGTGGGATTACTATATTTAAAAGAAAACAAACAAACAAAAGCACTAAAGATATAAAAAGCATGACCTTTAGAACCAGACTACTTCAGCGAGAATCCTAATTGTTCAATTTACAAGCTACACATTAGGCATTTACATCAATTAAATGGCTTCATAGACTTGTTGAGATTAAATTTATGCAATGTGCCTGTAGTTGAGCTGGGCAAATGATAAATTCCAGCAAAACAGCATCAAGAGTAGCTTTGTTTCATGTGAAATACTACTTTTTTAAAGACTCGGTTTTTCTGTTTAGTGAAGCATACTGAAAATATTCCTGTTGGATGAGACTCTATAAAACCAGGTGAAGTAGTTTAAATTTGAATTATGTAAAAAAAAACATACACGAAAAAAAAGAAACACACAGAGCACATTCATTATCTGGGCTCCTTACTGCCTAGGTTTTGGAAGCTCTCACCATCACTAACTTTAGCATTCTGCAGTTTTATATATCCATCTTGCCTAAACTTACTTTCTCAGAACATGAAGCAATAATCAAACAAAGAGACTGTGTGAAATTAGAAGTATAAAAATTGGTGTAGCAGAGATGTACCATCCCAACTCACCTCAACTCCTATTTCTCCTCACCTTTCATACCACAGAGGATTAAGCTGACAGGTGTTTCATTATCTATGGCAAATTCATTGCTGCTTCCTAAGATTGGATGCTCAAAAAGATTTTGAGGTTGTATGTAGAGTCACTAACAAAGATTTGATAGTTATATGCCATTCTACACAACATTTTTGGATACATATGTATAAAACACAGTGCAGAGAATGATATGATATAGGGGGAGTGTTTGTGTTACACATTTTTCTTGCACTGTTTAAGTACAGTAAGTTAAAAGAATGTACAAATGTGGCAGTTAAGCACTGACTGTCATTTATTCCCTTAATCTTCACTACAGTAGAACAAAGGAGGCTGACAGAAATACTTCAGATTGCAGCTAGTGAGTAACCGTATCTGAGCCCAGAGATGTTGGCTCCAGTCAACAGGATATACTGGCTCTCATAAGTTAGTGAGTTCAACACCATTTCCATAGCACAAGTTTACCAAGGAAAGGAAACCCTGACAGGCTGAATTAAAACACAGTCTTGACTTCTCAAGAGATTACCTAGGAACATAGAGTTTATGGTGAGATCTCTTCGTTCGGCATCCTTCTGCCAGTCAGTTGTAAATTCTACCTCAGCATGTCTTCCATCAGTGGTGACATCAATCCGGAGTGTAGTAACTTCAAAATTTTCTTCATGAAGCTGCAATTAAAGACAAATTTGTTATCTTTTTAAATTTTAGCATGTATGAGTGTGCATTCGCGTGCCACAGCTAAGGAAAACATTCCCAAGTCCGTTATCTCCTTCCACTATTGGTCTTCTGGGGACTAAATTCAAGATGTCAGGTTGGGCAGCAGGTATCTTTACCTAACTGAGCCCCCACAAAGGTTTTTGTTTTCTTTTTATTTGGTTTTAGTATCACCAAGTATTTTAAAAACTTGACTACATCAAGGCAGGATATTGTGATACCTGCCAATTCCTGTATGTCTTTTAAAGTCTATTAGTTTACACATATAACTCTGTACAAAAACATACAATTCAAAAAAAAAATCCAAATAACAGTTTCTTAAAATTACCCACTGTGATTAAGATTAATTTCAGAGACAAACACAACTGTGAGGAGTGGGGTGGTAGGAAATGCACTCAGTACATTTGACTCCAGTTATTCCACTTTAGAGCAAGCTCTTCTCTGACATACTATTGAACAGCTCCAGTCTGAAGAGAGGCAAAGACCAGTTTCTGGACCACAGACCACTGAGCAGCAGCTGCTGAAATACTGAGTCTTCAGGAAAGACACCTCCAGCTGCAAAGGCTGGTAACAACATGGTGTGAGCAAAACACTGAGAAAGACCTGGACATGGGATGTGGGCAAAACCACATTTAAAATGCAAGCTCATTTGATTATATCAGTGCTGCACTGCCAAATGACAAATTAGCAGTAGTCAAGCACAGAGATTTTCAATCACACAGGAGCTTAGGACCTCCTCATTAGGAAGTTTGTTCTAGCATTCCACACAGTTTCACATCCTTTTCCAGACACAAAGCTATACCTATAGTTTCATCATAACCTAAGGCTCTTGAGATACAATGACATATGAAACGAAAGAAACGGACTTGATGCAGGAAACTATGTGAAATTATTATCAGAAACAATATACTTTTCCTCCCTATACAAAACCAGGACAGACCAAAAATAATCAAAATTTGGAGCACCAGAAACTGTTGATAGTAGATAGAAATGAAACACCACAATAAAAACGGGATTAAGTGGAAATCAACAAGACTTGTCTTTTTCACTATTTAATTTTCAAAATATTATACAACCGTGTAATCGGAAGTTTCTCTGTCCCGCCCCATCCCGCAGCTGCTTCTAAATCACTCAGAGGCTTAATTGTAATTACAGACTGCTTGGCTGAACAGCACGGATTTATTACTAACTAGCTCTTACTTTTAATTTAACCCATTTCTATTAATCTATGTTTTGCCACATTTCTTGTGGCTTTGCCTGTGCTCTAATATATCTTGTTCCCCTGTCAGCTGGCTGGCATCTTCCTCTTGGTCTCTCCTCATCCAAGTCCTCAGTTTGATCATTATGCCTAACCTTATCTCATCTGAGCATTGGTCAAACAGCTTTTATTATTAACCAATTAGAGGAATACATTTCAGACTACAGAAAGATCATTCCACAGCACAACTGAGCTTATCCCCTGGCACACAACTCTGTGGAATTCTGATTGCGAATGAAAATTCTTAACATCAGGAGCACTAGCTCACTTCCATAGACTACCAACCACAGGTCACTTTGCTGAAGAATGGAAGCATGGGTAAACAATCTTTTGACGTTTTGACATGACACTGTCATCTGCAAATGCGATGGACTGTATTCATAGTTATCTGGGGACACATGTCCAAGGGGCCCTGCCTGGCCAAACTTCATTAAGAGCATCATTCGAATATAATGAGAACAGTAGAACATGCTCATTTAAGGAAAACCATTAAGACAAACAAAAAATGCTTAAAGAAAACACTTTGTCAAAGCAATTTATAACTAATAGCCAATGGAAAATAAAAATTTTCAATATGAAACAAGAACTGAACACTAAAAGAAATACAGTCCTGTGCCACATAAGGACACTTTAACAAAGAACCTCAGTCTATCATATTATACATAGTATTTGTGCACCCAAAAGCGTAACATATAGTCATGTATAGTACATATTTATTATCATAAACAACTATGTTACTAGTTTCTGTATTTACCACATTACATTTATACTTACCTTAATGTATGTCACATATCATTCATTTAACAAAGGAAGCATGTTCAAAGAAATTGGTTGCTGGGCAATTTCATTAAGAATTTAGTTGATTTTAAACTTTTTACAGTAACATTTGAAATATAAGATACTGCTATAAAATTAGTTAATGTCCTGTTGTAAATCATATTACTCTTTAAAAACTTTTTTGTTAACAAGACACAAATTAGAAGAGGAGGTAGTGAGGATCACTGCTGTCCACCCCATATCTTGGCCCACTGGACAGCTCAGAGTGACACAGATGGAGCTGTTCTCCCCCATGAAAGAGCAGTACCATGGAGCATGTTCTAAAAGACCTGCCTGGATCTAATAAAATATACTCCCAGAACACAGTTGTAACTAACCGTCATAAATCCAAACTCTCAACCTGAATTAACCAAACACTGTTATTAATAATACCCTAGAACAAAAGTATATGGGCCTGCTGTGAAGGGTGGCAAGGAAACTAACTCACATAAATGAAGAGTATCGTTAAACCTACAAATTAAAAACAAAATCTCCAACAGAGGACTTACTTGGTTTTCCCTCATGAACTGAAAGTGAGTTGAGTGTCAAACTTATATAATACATAGCTCCAATGGAGGGGTATGCAAGATTTCAGAGGGCAGGAGGCAATGACTTCTCTGTACTTTCTAAAAAGTTGATACTGTTTGAAACCAATTTACACTTTCACTCACCCTGGCAGTGATCGTCCCATGCTTCTCTCCTTTGTTGTTTATCATGCGAACACCAGCTGACTGGAACATCTCCTTCATCTGAGTAGGGGTGGCAGTGGTGGCAAAATCCACATCTTGAGGCTTCACCCCATTTAGTAAATCCCTCACTGCTCCTCCTGCTATTCTTAATTCATGATTCTCTTTGGCAAATAATTCTGAGGAAAGAAGGTTATTTGTTTATTTTTTTTAACACAACAGTGTTGAAGATTAAAGCTCATATAAGCATAAGGTCTTGTCATCTATTACAGATAGATCACTGAACTGAGCAGTCTTGTATGAGAATGAAAACAAGTTAGGCAGTGGTGTATATGCCTTTAATCTAGCACTCAGGAGGCAGAGGTGATGTGAGATTCCCCTCTGAATGCTGTAATTCCATTGGTGAATAAAGAAACTGCCTTGGCCTGTTTATAGGGCAGAACTTAGGTGGGCGGTGAAAACTAATCTGAATATCTGAATGCTCAGAGAAAGGAGGCAGAGTCAGAGGAGAAGCCATGTAGCCCCCGCTGGAGACAGACTTTAGCTAGCAAGCCACAGCCACATGGCGATACACAGATTCTGGGAGAAAGAACAGCAGAGTTAGGGAGAAACTATGGTGCAGCTGCTGGAGAGAGACGTGCTGAAACTTTGCTGGTAGGCCAGGACCTCGTGGTGAGGCACAGATTAATGGAGATGGGTTAAATTGAGATGTAAGAGTTAGCCAATAATAACCTAGAGCTAACAAGCAGTGATTTAACTAATACAGTTTCTGTGTGATTATTTCGGGGCTAAGCGGCCGGGAATTAACTAGTGACCTCCATCAACATTGAGGCAGGGAGATGTTTGTGAGTTCAAGGTCAGCCTGGTCTACTGATCAAGTTCTAGGGCAGCCATAACTACACAGAGAAAATCCTGTCTCAAAAAAAAACAACAAAAGGTCTGAACATCTGAGATGGTTCCCTACAGTAGATTGCCCCTAAGAACTGTAGAAAGAGAACTTTGAGAATTTCTTTCTGATCCAGCAGATAGTATAGAATTCTAAGATGCCTTAAGATCATCACTGTAAGTATGAGTTTCAACAGCAATAAACAATTCTGATTGTTTCTCTGTGGTGTATGTGTACACTTTAGAATGGAAATTATTCTGTCTTTGGGACAAATGTAGAGACAGTAAACTTATGCATGAAACTTATGATAAATATTAGAGCCAAGAACTCTTAAAAAACAAAACTGCACATATTGTTTGAAACTAATTTGAATCTGTGCTATATAAAGTATAAACATTATCCAAGGCATGCCTTGCACAATTCTTGAATGACTGCCCCCGCTTTCCAGTCAGTTTTAGTCTGTGTTTTCTAGCCACAAATTAAGATAAACTAGCAAACAATTAGCTTCTACCAATTCAAAAGCTAAGAATGCCAGCAGAGAGCAACTCAATCCTATAGAAAAGCTCATTTATTTCATTGCACCTACGTTTCTGATGTACCACACCAATGTATTTTAAACTTGTATTGATTTATGACTGTCTCTGTTCTATAAAACAGTGAAACTGCTTTCACACTGAAACATGGAATTTGAGGTAACCTAAAAGTTTGTCTTCCTGGGCTCACATGGCTCCCCTTAAGATGGAAGTTGTGGTTTATAAGTTGATAACCAAAGAATAACATCTTTTTCCTGAAAACAGACAATCTTCTTCAGATCCCACTTCCTAAACTCTCTCCAAAACAAACTAATCGAGGACCCAATATTGGAAAGTCAGTTTGAAAATGCTCTGTTGCAAGGTCATTGGCCTCTCCATAGGTAGTAGTCTTCCTTTACTGCAAGAAGCAGCTTGGTGTGTCCTTGGGGATCATGCATTCAGCTAAACTCAGCCCTAATCACTCCCAACTCAAATAGAATCCTCAACATATTTTCCTCCCATAATCTTCTTCCACCTTAGATTTTCTAAAATGGCTTGACTAAACAATCGTGTCTAAAATAAACATGGGCTCTTACACATGATTCTACTTCCATAAGCCCTCCCCAATAAGGGTTTTGCTCCCTTAATTTCCAATCGAGTCTCTCAACCAAATACCCCTGTTAAGGGTCTTTAAAATGTAAAAATCATGTTCACAACTGTCCTAACACTAATGGAGAGGTCCATGTCCCAAACAACTGAAAAACTGTCCAAGCTGCGATCTGTTTCCTTTAACACTTAAAGCAGGCCTCTAAAATCTGGGCTTTTTCAGGGCTCTCCAGTGTCTTCATAGATCTCCTTGCTCCAATACCAAGTCCCTTAAATCCAGTCTCAATAGTTGGATTACTCAAAAGCACCAGAGTAAATTACACTAGGCAACTCCTCCTAAAGATTTGCACTGCAATGTCCAAATTCTCTAACACAACAAACAACGGCTCCCATATCCCACTTCTATCTCATCTCTCTCTAATCTCTGCCTCACACTTTACCTATACCACTCTCTGCAGTTTACTTTCAATTTGTTTGCACTGAGCGCTTCACTGCAAGCACTTTTCCACTTTGGTCAATCCAGCTCATTGGCCAATGGTCCAACTTCCTGTCCGGTAACACCAACTAGGAAAGACACTACTTATAGAGAGCAGTGAAATGGACTTTAAGGGTGTGACCCCTGAGAAGCTATGCTCTACACCTAGGAATGAATGGGCAGCACAAATTGGAGTTGATGGGTTATTAAAAAAAAAAAAAAGTGGCGAGGGAAGGAGCTAGAGGAGTTAGACTATAATACGTAACATCGTAAGTATTGTTTTATTTAAAGGAGGGGCAATAGAGACTGGGAAAAGTAGGGGCTGTGAGAGCACATGAGAAAAGAACAGGTTCAATCAACCTATATTAGAGCTGTTAGGACTGCAGTGCCCAAGCAGCTGATAGCCACTTATGGTTACTGAACATTTGAAATGTGTGAATCTGAATAGAGACGTGCTATATGTGCTAAATATAGCCTAACACGCATAAATGTGGCAAGAATAACCATTAGTTACAGAAGGTTGAATATAATGCTTGGAGAACTATTAATTTCACTCTATTCTTTCTAGTTTTATAATGTAACCAGAAAAGGTTATCACATGAAGGTTTATATATTTCTATTAGAGAGCAAATTTCTAGAATTTTTCATTCCGATTAAATCACTGTGACTACAGCATCGTAAACTTGTATTTAAACCCTCTACTTCCACTAAAGAACTTAAAAGGACGTTCTCCTCGGTAGGTACCCATTATCTCATGTGAAGAATAAAAAGCAGTTTTGGGAACAGCATAATAACTTAAAACCAATGGTTCCCCAGTTTGTTCAACAGAATTAGTGTACAGAGTTAAAACAAAAGCAAACAGATGTTCTTCCTTCTGAGTCAGTGGGATATAGGATAGAATCCTAGCTTTTATGGTTTGAAAGTACTTCAAGGGCCTGTGAGATGTCTGAGTGGGTAAGAGTACTTGCCATCAAGTCTAATATCCTGAGTTGCATTCCTGGAACACACATGGTGGAGACTACTGACTTCTACAAGTAGAAGTCTGACCTCAACACAGAACATGCATTCTGCTCATCCCAATAATAAAGAGGCACCTCAAGTGCATCCTAGGTGTTTTACACACCCACACAACTCAGTGTATTCCTGGCAGTCATTCCTAGCATACCCCCAAGCTTTCCATGGCAGCCGTGGGCTGCTTCAATGTCATTTGCTCACTTTAAAGACCAATACTGGCAAAACTGTAGCAACAGCCATTTGCTGTCTGCCTCCCAGACACAGAAAAAGAGGACATAAGGGATAGTTCCTTCCGTTCTCTCAGAAAGCAATTATACAAAGGAAGAGACTGTAACTTCACTGCTTACAAACTGCATGACATCAGACTCTGCAAATTTAAAATCCAACTCCTTCAGTTAGTTATTTGGGAAACAGAAGAGGAATTTTACTTCCTAATTAGGTGTTTCCTCTTCCATACACACATCTAGAGGCGTTGGGTCTCATGATGGGTAAATGGGATTTCTTAGAGACATAGAAAAGCTGTGCTTTATGCTACAGTCAACTCCCCACTTCTAGTGATTGGGTTTATGATTTTCAGTTTATCCCAAGCAGGCCTTTCTTTCATTAGCCCCACAATAACTATCTCAAAATCGGGCAAAGAAAGTTTCCCCTTTATTTGTGGTGAACAATTCCAAAGTACAGAAGACTACCATCACCTCTCACCTGTCAGGCTCTTCAAGCCTTCCGTGAAAAGTGACTGGAATTCTGGAGACTGCAACTTCATTGTAAATAGGTGTCGCTTTAGAAGGCACAATCTACTCCAACTACAGTTCAGGACCTGCCTGTGCCAAGGAAGCAGGCGCCTCTGCATCTGGAGACAGTCACCAACCACGCATCTACAAAGGCAAACACAAGGGCACGCAAATTAAATTTCAAAATGAAGGCAAACAAATACTATCAGACAAGTCAACTAGCAAAACCCTCTCTGGGTAAGAACCTGGAAGTGACCCTTTAAGGAATACTAAAGGTCTCGGATGGCAACTACCCAATTCTGTACTCCTCACACTTTTACTATATCGGAAGCAGGAGGGGAAGAGAGTCCCCGAAAATGAAATATTAGACCGGCAGGAACAATTGGTCTCCAAAACAGATCAGTTACACGTGCTCATCACCCTCCTTCCCCACCCAATGCCGACTTCAGGGTTACTGCCTCCAAAGTACGAAGGTGGCGGGGTTGCCTCGGCGGGCCATAGCTCTTAAAGGAGCCCGAGAAAAATGACGCGCCCCGGAACAGGCACGCTGGAGCAGGCCACGTGTGTCTGAAACGCGCGCCGGGCACCGGCTCCGGCCGCCCATGGCTCGGTGAGGAGGCCGGGTGTCGCCAAGAGGGCGGAGCAGCTTCGACCTCCCGCCATCCCCCCCCCCCCCCCGCCCCCAAGGGCTTTCGGACGCTCGCGGTACCGGCGGAGTCGCCTCGGTCCCTTACGAACGCAGCACTCCCACGCCGAGGGCCTCTGACCCGCCCCCCTCCCCGCCACACGCGCACTTCCGGGTCGCGGCGCAGTGACGTTGAACGTACTGAGGCACCGCAGCAAATGAGTCGCCACGAGAGGTTCCGCCCACTTCCTCTGGGAGGGGCAAGGCTTTCCGAGTGGCGCGGCTCCTCCTGCGTCTGCGCGCAAGGCTGGCAGCGTTCTGGGGCATTTGAATAGTGAAAATAAGCAGCCTGCCCTTTTCTGTGCTTGAAACCCCCAACACGCTTTATCTGAACAGTTACCAACTTTGCGTGACCGTTGCTACCTGGTTTAGAGGCTTCGCCAGGCAACGCGAAGAACTTTGTTTTGATGAAATCCTTTGCAAAGTGGAGAGAGTGGGAAAACAGGTCTGAGACTTAAAATTCCTTCATCTTTCTAAAAGATTTCCTTGATAAACGAGAACGCTTTAATGTTTCGGTGTTTCCCACCACCCGGTCCCTTATCTTCAGGAAACTTGGGTATCTACATTTTGAAACGACAGACTGCCTGTCCCACTCCGAGATCCAGAGACACAGTCCAAAGAATCCTCGACTTTATCCTAGAAGACTAAGTTGATAATATTAGGATAAATTCTATAAGAAGAGATAACTTCACTGAGGTAAGATAACGTGTCTAATAGGGCAAACTCCCATCTCCAAAGTAATAAACAAGTAACAAAAATATTAGCAAACTGAATCCCACAACAACATATACAAAAAATGATGCTTGAAAGCTTGAGTTTATTGTGAGGCAAGGAATACGAGCTAGAGTTGTTAATTCAGAAACCAGTTAAGATAACTCACTGTGCTAACAGACCCTGAAAAAGGAGCCATAGACACCAGACACACACAAAAAAAGTGCTCTTAGTTTTTATACACTCACTTAGAAAATTAAGATTAAAAAGGACTTTCTCAGTAAAGTGAAAGGGACCTGTATAAAAATCTACAACTCAGACTGAGTAGAATTTGGATTACGTCTCCCTAGTATTTGGAACATAGCAGTTATTCAGTATAGCTTCTTATTTCCAAAGTTTGACTAGTTTATCATTAATTAACAGAAAGCAAGAATAAAAGACAGTTCAATGACTATATACAAGAGACCTTAAAGTTTCCATCAGGAAACTCCTGCAAATGATAAATGCTTGAAGCAAAGTAGTAGAGTATAGAATTAACACTTAAGAAAAGACATGTTCCTATATATCACTAACATGGAGAAGAGATCATGAAAACATTCCTATTCAAAGTTACTTCTAAAATAGCTAGAGTAAACCTAACCTGGAAGCAAATAACCAGTATGAGAACTAAAAGCACCCCACAGAAATTGAAGGCCCTAGAAGGAAAGATCATTCATGCTCTTGCGTTGGTAGAATGAACAATCGACAGATTTAATGCAATTCCCATCAAAATACCAATATTCTTCAGAGACATAGTGTCTTGTTAGGTCTCCTATTGTTACAAAGAGACACCATGATCACGGAAACTCTTATAAAAGAAAAACATTTGAATAGAGTGGCTCACATTTTATCAGGTTTAGTTCATTATCATAGTATGACATCGTGGCATACAGACAGACATGGTGCTGGAGAAGGAGTTGAGATTCCTACGTCTTGACCCACAGGCAAGAGAAAGTGGTCTGAGACTCTGGACCTGACTTGAGCATGTATGAGACCTCAAAGTCCACCTCCTATTGTTATGACATATTTTCTCCAAGGAGGCCATACCTACTTCAACAAAGCCACACCTCCTAAGAGTGCCACTCCCTATGAGATTATGGGGGCCAATTACATTCTAACCACCACACATAAGTAAAACAAACTTAAAATACCTTTGAAAACACAAAAGACCTGAGATAGTCAAAGCAAACCTCTACAAAAGGAGTAAGGCTGGAGGCATTACTAAGTCACCACATCTGGCTTCAAGTTATATTACAGAGGCAGTAATAAAAATAGCACGCTACTAGCTCGAAAATAGGCATGTAGACCAATTGAACAGAATGGAAGACTCAGGCATGAACACTCGGGGCTATAAATGTCTTATTTTTTGCAAAAGTGCTGGAAATACTCATTGGAGAAAAGACAGGCTCATGTCCACAAGTGTAGATCATTATTTCTCACGTGCACAAAAAATCAAGTATACTAGGATGGTAGCAGGGACTCAGAAACTTGATTGTGGTACTGAGGGAGCCCTGAGGCCAGCACTGGCTTTTGTATGCTAATTGACACCATGGGTAAGCCATTTGTTCATTCTGCCTCTGGTAAGGGAAATGACTCCTTTCTGTAGAGCTGCAGCAGCCTCGTGAAATCCTCCTATAGATAAGTTGAGTCCACTTCTGGCTTTTTGGACTGTCTTTTGGAGTCTGGGAAATTGAAGTCTCCTTTTTTTGAATGTGTATTCTCACAATTCTCAGACTCCTCCTCTTTTTTGTGCCTTCTTTTCGTCTGCAAGTCCTGTCTTACCTCTACCTGTCCAGTTATTGGCAAGTCAATTTCTTAATTAACCTAATTACAGTGACATATATTCACACATGTAAAGGAATAGTCCACATTTCCCACCTTTTGTTCTAATTAAAAAGGAACATTTTACATTTAACAAAATAAAATTACATACAACAAAAACAGTTATCAAGTAAGAATTACAGTTACAATATGCAGTCCATTTGTATTTGGAAAAATAGAGAAAATAATCCATCAGCTGTCCTTCCTGACGATTCCAGAGTTTCGTACCTAATTTGCTTTCTACCATGATTAGGAAGAAATGTAACTATCAACCCCATCAAAGACCTGAGAAGAATACAATATTACCTGAGTAAACAGGAAGTGCAGAACAAGGGACTTCCTAAATTAAGAGTTAACAGAAATAACTGGCTATCTGGACAATCACCTACTTTCTTTTGTAACGTTGGGGCATCCATCTTCAACCTATAGGCCTAGAATATCTGACAGACATTTTTGAGAAGTGGGGAATTTTGTAAACCTTTCTTACCTTGTCTTGACAAAGTTTGGCAGTCACTTTCTTTTGTGTCCTACTGCTCCAATTTGGACAGTACACTATCAACAATTGAAGCAAGTACAGTTTCTTGCCCAAATGGCTAGCTTTTACCATAAAAAAAAAAAAACCTCCATAAGGAGGTTCTTTGATTCCCATCATCTACTTTTGAAGTATTTTGGTGCTGTCAAGAGCAAGGGTATCTCATAGTCTTGAAAAGACTTAGGTTATTAAACACTTTAAATGCCATATTCTGTAGGTCTTTGAAGAGTTTAAAGACAATATAGCTATTTAAATATATCTGTTTAAACTTGAAAAATACCTAATATGATTACAAGTTTGATTATTATCAATGACTATAACCTGTATTTCTTAACTGTACATTTTAAAATGAGCTGCATAAGCACAATACCCCAAACAAGAGTAGAAACATACATATATTATAGCAAAATAACTCTACATTTGTATCAATAAACCAAAATCTATAGTAATATAAAATATTTTGAGATTAATATTTTTGGAGTAAAGTAGATTCAATAATATACTCTTTTAATGTCATTTCTGTATCATATCCCCTTTTTCTCCTTTAGAAAGAGATGTTTGAATTTAATTCTTTTGTATACCTATTTTTCTGACTATGACCATTAACAGTTTATAACCAACCCTACTTAATTGATAACAAATTTCCATAACCCATTTTTTGGGAATGTGGGTGCTATTTTCTTTAGACTGCTTCTTGTTGTCCGGGGGCACTGTCATCTTTGGGGAAATATTGAGAAAATTCAGGATAAATGGTTACATCTTGGCTGGAGTAGTCTGTGAGGCTGGATCATCTCAGCCAGCAGCCTTGAAGCTGTTCTGAATGCAGAATTCAGAAACTGGAACAGAGACCTTCTGGAATGTTGGATCACCTGGGTCATCTGTTTTCATTGGTGTTTGGTCCCCTTATTCTGAAAAAGCAAAACCTTTTAAAGGTAACATTTGTTACTATCATGGAATATGTGGTGTATACGAGTCATTTAAGATGATTTCTTGTTTTATGTTTGAACAAGTAAAATATATGTCATGTGTTTTGTAGTTTTTATAGGTTTATTTGTTTATGTCTGTATCTAGGATTTTAAGGGCAGGGAGAACTCTTCCCTGATCAAACATGATCCATATCAACCTGGAATGAATCCACAACCGCTCCTTTCATGTGGAAATAAAAGTATGGCCTCTCTTCTATGGGGTAATGCTCTTGTACACTGCAAATATTTGTCACTCATATTGATTTAATAAAATGCTGACTGACCAGTAGCCAGGCTGGATGTATAGGCAGGGTGACCGGACAAGGAGAATTCTGGGAAGAGAAAAGGCAGAGAAGCAGTCACAAGCCACGTGCAGAGGAAGCAAGATGAGAATGCCTTACTGAGTAAAGGTACGAAGCCATGTGACTAAAAATAGATAAGAATTTTGTGTTAATTTAAATTGGAAGAGCTAGTTAATAATAAACCTGAGTTGATAGGCCAAACAGTTTATAATTAATATAATCACATCTGTGTTTCTTTGGGACTAAAAGACTGAAGGGACTGAGTGGGACAGAAACTTCAGTCTATACCTCTCCCTCAAGTAATGTTTCTTTTTATTTCCATTTTGAAATTAAGACATTTTAAGAAAATTTTATAGGTTGGCTTAATCCAACAGTTTTCACAATCCAATTTGTCTTTGCAGTTGCTGTTCCTTCATTAGCAATCAGAAACTCTAAAGACAACACAATAATATATATAATCCATACTCACTGTGTTTTTCCATCTTTACATAGCTTTTATTTATTTTCATTTTGTTACTTTATTTCTTTTTTAGGACTTTATTTTATTACTTCTAAACTATTTTAATCTATGACTGTATATACCCTTTCTCTTCTCTCTCCCAAGCCTAGGTCTATTTTTAAACACACTGTAACCTGTTTGTAGGTTTCTTTTATCTGAATCTGTCTTTACTGAACAACTGTAATGGTTTTTGATTGCATGAGTTGACTCTTAAATGGCACAACTC